CCCCCCCCCCGTGAAGATTCGCCTTTAGTTCCAGGCTCCCCGTTTGTTTCACCAGGTACCCAGACGTGCAGCCCAGACGTGCGGCTGCATGGCAGGGCTGCACTGGGACCCTTTGCCTGCAGAACCTCAGCTTCTCTCGGTGTATTATGAAAGCCGCCCTGCCCTTCTACCCCTCCTGAGATCCCCGTTATCCCGCACACAGGTACCTCACAGCAACAGATCCCTGCGGTGCCCTGACACCACACCATAACCACCCGGCTGTGGGAGCCGGCACTTCCTTGACCTCAGGCTGTGCCGTTGCCATCGGGTGGGGGGGGAGTGAGAGAAGAAACCCGTTGTCCCAGGAGGCTGAAATATGCAGGAGGGACAGTCTATGCAGTGCTCTGTAAAAACAAACACAAGCCTACCGAGCCTGCATGGCTTAATGCTGGATACCAAAGCTGAGAAGTAACCTTGCATACAGCCTTAATATTTTTTCCCTGTGTGCAGAGAGCACGATCCAGTTTTAATAACAGCGTGCTGCATGTGCCTGTCTGAGGCCTCAGGAAAAAACATCTGCTGCCACTTCACGGTTTCTGCAGCCCCTGGCCCTGCTGCTGGAGCCTGAGCTGGGCATGGCAGGGCAGCCAGGAGCCCTCAGCCTGCTCCCATGGAAAGGAGGTGTGAGTCGCCATGCCTGTAGGCACCTATCGGTCTGTCCGTCCCTGCAGTCCGACCCCATTTCTGAAATGTTGGGTCACTTGCTGCCAGATCTCACAGCAAGGTCCTCGGAGGGAATAAATTCCCTTATGTTGCTCCATTCTCTAATTGTTTTTTTTTTTTGGGGGGGGGGGGAAGCATCTGGGCAGAGCTGAGAGAGCCAAGCTTTGGTCCCAGCTGAGGAAATAGATTCAGCCTCCAACTCACTCATACACATAAGGCATCAAAGAACACACACAGGAGAGAGGCCCTACAGATACCAGGGGATGTGCAGTGGGGCCTGGCATTGGGAGCTGTGCCCATTGGTGCCACTGTGAGCATCCCTGCACCCAGAGGTGTCCATCACTGCACCCAGAGGTGCCCAGCAATAGGAGCTCAGGAGCACATGTCCCATGGGCAGTGGTTGCCCACTCTGCCCCAGGGCAGTAGGGCCAATTTCACAAGCGGATGACACCGAACAGTGACTCATTCTGCTTCATGTGGTTTTTAATTAACACTTGCATGGCCCCATCAGCCAAATAATTGCCTCCCTTCATGGGTCAGCAAGTCAACAGCTCTGACCCCCATTCCCACCTGGGTACAATGTTTGGTGGCTGCACCTCACACTCCTCTGCAGACCTACATTGAGGTTGAAGGTTCCAGGCTCCTCCAGGGCTTCTGCAGCACTGCTCCCATCCCCATCCTTCGGCTCCATCCATCCTCATCCTCAGCCACCATGGTGTGGTGAGGTGCAGTGGTGGAACACAGGTGTGCCCTCCATGATGCCAAAGGGACAGGAGCATGTCCTCAGCAAGAGGAATTTGAGCTGGGCATTAATAAAAGAGATATTCTAGTAGTAAAATTAATATAGCCCTGGAGGAGACTATATTGAGCCATCTGGAGATCTTAAAGGAAAGGTTAGATAAAAAAAAAGTCTGTCCGGATCAATTTGGAATAGGGAAGCAGACTGTATGTCTTCCCAAGCGTTCTCCAGGCTGAGTTTTTCAGAGTACAAATTCATTTCCCAAAGTGGCAAGGCCAGAGAGCAGCCCAATTTAGAGGTCGACCAGGGTGTGATTCCCATGGATAGAAACTCTCTCTTTGCATTGGCGCTGGCCAAGGCCTTTTCCCCTGGCTGTGGGTCTGTGTCTGTGGGAGGGGCAGACTTCTGAACCCAGTTTTCCCAGAGGCACATCCAGCAGGATCCGGGTGGCACTGCAGCCATCCTGCAGCACTGTCCCCAGCCAGGGGGTCTGAGAGCTCCCACCACTCCCAGAACACGCTTCTGCCACACCGCAGCTCCCAGTGCATGGGCTGAGGATGGGGATGGAGCAGGCATGAGCCACAGCTCCTGTTGGTCGGTTTGGAGGGGTCTCACGGACACAGGGGCTGGGCTGGTGCTCACTGCAGGAGCCTCTCCGTGGGGTGGGGGCAGCGGGGGCTGCAGAGGATGTTGTGCTCTGAGAACAAGAGCCCTTTCTTCGTGGGAAAGTGCGGGGCCACGAAGCGCTCGGACGGCCTTATCTCTGGTTTTGAAAGCCACACGCTGATCATTTGTCAAGATTAGCGCGTGCGGTAGAAGGGATGGAGCTGTTCCAAATCCATGCTCAAATCTCTTCCCCGGGCTCGCGGCCATTCATAAAAATGCCAGAGCAGCGTCGGCAGCACACGCTGGGGCTGGGGAGGGGTCAGCCATGGGTTACAGAGCTCTGCTGGGGGCACGCAGGTTGCCCTGTTGGTGTCCTTCCTCCAGCAGAGCTGGCTGCATGGACTTAGCAAGGGCGAGAGGCAGGGGGGAGGTCCCATGGGTGGGACAGGGCTGACGGGTCTTAGAAAAGACTTTCCCAGCCTCTTTCATCCCAACACATTATCCTGAGGTCTGGAGCAACCGAGGAGCTCTGACTTCAGGAAATTGCATGGCTATGGGTGTGCTTAGGGTGTGCTTAGGAAGGCTGTGCCAAAGCAGCTCTGCCATATCCTACATGAGGTCTGCAGCAGAAGGCAGCCTTGTGAGCTAGCCAAATAATTCCATCCCTTCCATGCTGCTGCAGGGGTTCAGAGGACTTTGGGTGGCCCTTTCCATCTCTCCCGCACAATGCTTTTGCCTGAAGACTGTTACCAGTGTGAGAAATGTTTAACTAGAAGTGGCAAGAGTGGCAGCCTCGTGTTTTGGTTTAAGGAAATGCTGCAAACCAATGAATCTGATCACTTCTCCAGGGCTTGGCTGGGTCCTGTGCTGAGAGCGGATGTGCTCTGCAGAGCTGTGCCTTTGGCTCTTGGGAAGGTCCATGTTCCTCCTTGGCAGCGCACTCAGCTGGGCCATCTCCTGCCTTTCCTTTAGCTGATGGCAGCAGCCCAGGGACTTTGCCATAAAGCCCTGCTCGATGACCTCACTGCTGCACATGGTGGAAGAAAAATACCACAGGAGCGGAAAGAAAATACTTCTCCTTTGAGAACTGGGGAATAATGAAGGACACTAGTATGAACTGACCTTTTTGCTGTCATTGAGAAGCCAGTGCCAAGGCACAGCAGAGCTAATTATGACCTTCAAGCTCTGTCTATGACCGTCTTGCAGAGCCCAGGGGCTGCCCGGCATCCCACCCGCAGGAGCTGGAGCCAAAAGGCAGTTTGGCTGGGTGTGCTGAGCCCAGGGTGTGATGGTCCCACTGGCTGCTCCTAGCCCTGCCCCGTCCTCTGGGCCGACCCAGCATCATGCTTGCAGCGTGTGCAGTGAGAACAGCCATCAATAACAGGCAGTGCTTTCTGCATGCGCGAAGGAGCGGGGAAGAGCGTAACCGATACCTGCTGGGCTGCCTCCAGCCCTGCTCGGCACTGGGACCACGCAGCCGAGCCTTGGCTGCTCCGCTTCCCTTTGCAAGCAGCTGTTCTTGCAGCCCTGTGTCTGCCCTTGGCCTTCCTCACTGTTTTGCTGCTCTTATTCTCACGCGCTCGCCAAAGTCCCACTGACCCACCACCAAAAAAACAAAAGAGGAGGAGAACTCGATATCTGCTGCAAGTGAAATAGCTCGGGTTCGGCTTGGAGGGCTTCCCGAACTCTCAAGGAATTTCCTGAACTCAGGAATCTGCCAAACGTTGGGATCAGCCTCAATGGGCTGCAGATATTTTCAGAGCACACACTGCGTGCTGTGTTTTGGGGCAGTGCTCTATCGGAGCGGGTCAGGAAGGGCAGAAGGAAAGCCCCTCTGCCCATAGGAGTGTGAGGCTGTATTCCATGTCCTCATGTCTTTATTTTGGGATGAAGGAGAGGTTTGGTTCTGAAATCCCACACGGCTTCTCTATGCCAGACCCAGGCTGTGCTGCAGCCCTCGTGCCAACATGGAAACTTTGGTGTAGTTATAACACTGCATGTCAGCAGTTCACATGCTGACCTGAAAGCAAAGGCACAGCCTCAGATTGACCAAAATCCTCTGCTGTCACCAAAAGCAATGCTGTGACATTTGCAGCAGAAGGCAGCGCTGCTTGCAGTGGGAGCTCGACACGTGTGTGTTTATTGCACAGATTTCGAGAGCAAACAAACTTCTGGGTGGGAAGAGCACAGCCCTTCCCCTTAAAGCAAACTCAAAT